TGAAGGGGCTCCAGTTTCTTCCCTTAAAGGAAAAGAATGTTTAATTAGAGGTGTTCATAGTTAGGTTGTAAACACCACCTAAAAAACCTTAGGCCCAGACACTGTTAAATTTGCTAGTTGATTTTCTTGTCTCAAGCGGGGAAACAGTGTCACAAATTGGTTTTAAAAACCTCAGTGTGGGGCTTTTTGTTGTTGTTGTGGTTGCCACAAATTCTGGACCAGTTTCTGATAACAAGTAAAAGCTTTTATTGTTGGCAGAGTACTGGCACAGCTTGCCCTGGAACTGTTCAAGGCCAGGTTGGATGGGACTCTGAGCAACTTGATCTGGTGGAAGGTGTCCCTGCGCATGGCTGGGGGTTGGAACTAAAGGATCTTTAAGGTCCTTTCCAAGCCAGACCGTTCCATGGCTCTATGACTCTACGTTACCCTTCTCCCCCTGCGTCCAGAGGCCACCACCATGCCCAGATCATGGAACCAGCCCCTCTGTGACATCAGCCCCAGGCTGAGGGCACTGGTGGCAGTTCGAGTGCTGCGGACACTTTGTTGGCAGCTGTGCTGGAGGAGACAGGCCCTCACTCCTTGCAGCTGACCTGTGTCGCTGACAGCAATGATTTTGCTGCGCCTGCTCATCCTGCTGGCCCTGTGTGGGGCCGCAGATGGCACATCGAACACGTGCGGGTAAGTGGCCCCAGGCTCTGGGAGGGAGCCTGGGCAAGTTGTAGGGGCTGCCCTGAGGGTGCCTGCTTGTCTCCGTGGCTACACCAGAGCTTCCCAAACCCCATGTGGGAGCCTCATCCCCTTGCCCGCACTCAGACTGCTGGCACAACTCATCTACAGGGCTGAAGCAGACACAGGGGCAGACAGACACACGCCCCCACGGGGTCCCCTGGCCCTGCTGGCTGTGCAACCAGTGCCCTGTGGGGAGGGAAGCAGGCTGCCCTTCAGCCTGAGCAGCATCAAGCCCTCAAGCAGCACAGTAATGACCTTCTGCTTACAGACAGGTCTGCGGGCTCCGGCCTGCACCCTACAGCACGACGCGCATCGTGGGTGGTGTACCTGTCCGGCCAGGAAGAGGGGCCTGGGCCGGGATAGTCAGCATCCAGAGTCTTCGGACAGAAACATTGTTTAGGCATAACTGTGGAGGGACCATCATCAGACCACAGTGGGTCCTCTCAGCTGCCCACTGCTTCATCAACCGCACAAAGTAAGGAGGACCCGGGAACTGGGATATCCCCAACACCCCAGCTGGTGCTCTGTGCCCAACACCACGTGCTACTCCCATCCCATTTCCTTGCAGCATGCCCAGTGCCTGGGCACTGCGAGCCCAGCTGAGAGACTGCTCAGGGAGAAGGCTGGGCTCGTGTCCCTGCTTCCTAGCAGCCTCCAGCTTGGCATTTCTGGAGCCTAAGCCATGCTAGTGCTGTCACCCCCCCTTGTAACTTTGCTTTCCTCTCTGCCTTGGGCAGCAGAAGGCANGCACAGTGTCTTAGGCTGCTGACCGGTGGGATGCCTCTGTGTGCATATGTGTGTACAGCACACCAGGGAACTGGAAACTGGACTCGGGATGTCTGGGCAGGAACCTTCCAGCTCCTTGGTCTTCCTTTAACTTCATCAAAGCAAAGCTCAGAGAACTCTCCTTGGTCATCAAGGAGAGCAGCTTCTTGGCTGTAATTGAAATGACAGTCCAACAGCCAGGGTCTGCTGTACCTGGGGAAAAAGGGGGAAGCTGTTCAGCAGTCAAATGGAAGCAACGTTGAATACTTATGTGTGTGTGTGCATGTACAGTGCACCAGGGAATAGAAAACTGGACTCTCTCATCACTGCAAGTCTTCAAGGCCAGGTTGGATGGGGCTTTGTGCTACCTGCTCTAGAGGAGAATGTCTCTGTCCATGGCAGACGGGGTTGGAATTAGATGATCTTCTGACTATGACCTCATGGCTTTTTCCTAGATCATATCACACATGGTGGGTGGCACGGGTATCCAGCCAGGGTCCTCATGTGGGATTGTCAGCGTCTGGGATCTCTGGGATCCAGGCACAGGGCATATCTGCCCTATATATATGTCCACTGTCAGTCCACAGTGGGTCCTCACAGCTGCCCACTGCTTCATCAATGCCATGTAAGAAGAGTTAGAGAATGAGGATATCCCCACAGTACCAGCAGCTGCCCTGTCCCCAGTGCTGCATGCAACTCCCATCCCATTTCCTTGCATCTTGCCCAGTGCCTGAGAGACTGCTCAGGAGAAGACTGGGCTCATGCCACTGATTCCTTGCTGCTGCTGCCAGTCATCTTCTCCTGCCAGTCTGCCATGACTGGGAGAGAGGGTGGTTAGGCAAGCCCCACACCAGGCAGCACCACCAAGGGACAAGAGACCTCCCCACAGGCTGGTATGCCACCATAGAAAAAGATGGTGGTCAGCTGGGTGGCCAGACACTGAACAATTTAAGTTGTATTACTTTAAATTTAAATTGTATTAAATAGTATTAAAATGTTTAAAATCTAATTTTATTTCATTGTGTAAACTTTATATCTGTTTAAATTTGAATTGCATTAAGTTGTATATGAGCTATATTAATTTGAATTTTATTAAACTGAATTAAATTTTAACATGTCAGCAACAAAAAGAGGTCTGTATTTTCTGCTCTGAAGCTATTCTACATGTAAATTCTATAAAATCCTGCTGGCTTGATTTTTGCTCGAGCATTCCTGAACTCAGCGATCACTCCATCCTCAGTTGGGAAGAATTTAGCCTCACATTGCCTTCTGTCCAGCTCTGTACGTTCACTACAGATATTGGCACCATCTACAGTGGAAAAGTGGTATCTAACACCTTAAGCCTGCAACAACTACAAGTGCAAGAAAGACAGTACTAGAGAAACATGAGAAAGAAAAAAAAGAGTGCAGATGTTGCCCTGTCGTTAAGAATGCAAATCTTTTACTGTCCTCTGGGCCCTAAGGATGATTTTTGTCCCCATTAGATGGTAATTGTTTTTTTGAACTAACTGCAGAAAGCTGGGCAGTAAGGAGTTAATGCATTGCAATGCCTCAAACACCAAGCAGGCAACTTAGAACAGGATGTGCCCGGAAAGGGGGTTTGTATGAAGGTAAGGCAGCACCTTTCTGGGGGCAAATTTCCTGTTCTGGTATATGGTGACTACACAACACTAAGGACAGCTCAAGTGCAGAAGTAGGGTCAAGGAGTGAGCAAGACCAATAGAGGGGAATCAAGACCACCAAAAGACCCTCAAGACCCTCCAGTCCATTTCCAGAAAGGTCCAGAAGACTGTATTGCACATGCTCACTTATTTGCATGAACAGTGAGAAACTTAATCCCGGGATGAGGAAAATTTATCTATAAAAAGGTACCCCCACAGAGCCTGGGTGGTGCACTCCCAGGACCCTGGACACCCTGTCGGTTGGGTGCTGGACCCAGGAATGGTGATAGTCTTTCCTCTTGCCAAGGAGAACAGACAGGGCTATGGGGACAGAGTGGAGCTGCCCTATCTGTCATAATGCCCAAGAGTGTGTCTCTTATGTGATACATACACATTAATACAATGGCCACGAATTCTACGTGGTCTGGATTCTGCTTTGGGATAAGAAGAAACCAGAAACTGTGCAGAAGACTGATAGAGTCTGTCAGGTTTTCTCTGCAGGAACAAAAGTATGTGGAGTGCCATCACACCCTGAAGAATCACCAGAGGGCAGCAGCCAAGCAGAAGGAGCTCTTGGCCTCCTGGATGGAAACAGCTGCCATCGCCCTGCAGGGTCCCCTCCCTCTTCTCCACAGTGGACACTCTCCCCAGCTGAGCAGGGGGCTGCAGGGACTGGGGCCGTGGCTGGCCTCCTGCCCAAGGTCTGGGCACAACTCTTCAAAAAAAAAGAGCATCTCCTT